ACAGATCTCAGAAATCACACCATCAGAGCTACAAAAAATGGCAATATTAGGAACAACATACATACTGTGTTACTATTTAACAGATACTTAGGTTTTTTGTTAAAACTTGTGTCCGTTATATAATACCAGTCAATGTTTTTATAATTTTGACTGCGGCTGGAGTTTTTTAAATAATATGGCAAAATTAGTACACTGGTCATTATGCAAAAAATGTAACCTGTCAGCCCTCAAAATTACTCATGGGAACATCAGGTAGAGAAGGTGTCAGAAAATGATGACATCAAGATCTTGTGGGATTTCCGGATCCAAACTGATAGACACTTTGAACATAACACACAAGAAATAGCACTAATAAAACAAAGAAATGTCTGGATCATTGACATCGCAATTCCAGAGAATGCCAGGGTTGAAAAAACTAACAAAGTACAGAGACCTGGCAATCAAAGCATTTCGCTTGTGAATGAAGTGCACTTTAGTGGTCCCAGTAGTCATTGGGGCTTTGGGAACAATATCAAGAAATTCCACACGGTATTATAAACAGTTGCAGATCTCAGAAATCACACCATCAGAGCTACAAAAAACATCAATATTAGGAACAGCATAAATACCACATCAATATTTAACAGATTTAAGTTTTTGATAAAAACTACTTGTATCTTATGTAATACTAGTCAATGTTTTCATAAATTTGACTGTGCTTGATTAATAATAATAATAATAATAATAATAATAATAATAATAATAATGGAATGTCACCCTATATTATAAGCAGTTGCAGACCTCAGAAATAACACTATCAGAGCTACAACAATAGCAATATTAGGAGCAGCATACATACATATAATAATTCTGAGTTATGGCAACTCTTTTCAGGGTTTTCTAGGTAGAGAATACTCAGAAGTGGTTTACCATTCCCTTCTGGGGATGCCCTGGGACTGTGCAGCTTGTCCAGAGTCACATAAGCTGGCTGTTTGCGGATGCAGAGTGAGGAATTGAACTCCCAACCGATGGCTCTGCAGCCAGATACCTAACTCACAGAGCTTCTTCTGGGGGTGTCCTGGGACTGTGCAGCTTGTTCAAGACTATAAAGGGTGGCTGTTTTCCCCAGATGCACAGTGTTCCAGTACAGTTTTCTGGTTTCATTTTCTAAAACTGGAGATGACTGGAATTTATGATGTGGAGGAAAGATATGAATAAAGCAAGCAAACAAACAAATAAAAATGAGTAATCCACAAGATTACTCCATCAGAAATTAATTGATTGGTTGGTTGATTGATTTTTCTCTTCTTTAATGTTTTGGCTGCTAGATCCTAGATGATCAGTATTTTTGCCTCCATATATAGCAGAGCTTCAGAACATTTTAGCTGCTTTAGGATTTATATTTTAACACGTTTCTTCAGAACATTTTAGCTGCTTTAGGATTTATATTTTAATACAGTAGCCTGCAAATCTGACTGTTACATCATGTGCCTGTCCCTGGTTTTGTAGTTTTGGACCCAGTGAGCTGTAAGCTTGCTCAATATTGTTCTCAGTCAGAGTCCGGTCTGGGCAGTTATTGTTAAGTTGATGATATATCCTCTGTCGTCCCCTTCTCCTCTTGCCCTCACACTTGCAAATCTGCAAATCTGACTGTTACACCATGTGCCTGTCCCTGGTTTTGCAGTTTTGGACCCAGTGAGCTGTGAGCTTGCTCAATATTGTTCTCAGTCAGCATCCAGTCTGGGCAGTTATTGTTAAGTTGATGATATATTTTTGTTTCAATACTAGTTTCACCTTCCTGCTCTGAATACTACAAAAATGTACATTTTGGCTTGTCTTAAATCCTTGTCATATCCTGCAAATGTGTTAATTTTTCTTCTTGTGCAGTGCTCATTTCTAGAGCCTCATTACTGCTTTTTTTGTACTTTCAAACCTTTCTGTTAGTTTGCTTTCTGTTGGAGTTGAAGCTTCAGCCAGATCACTTTCCAGCTCCTATGTTAATTGTTGTAATAACTGTTTTATGCCTACATCTGCCCTGGTCTCCTCTTTACTCTTCTCCTATACTGTTGCAATTTGTCTCTGGAGCCATTTCATCTGTTGCTTCACAGACTAGGCTGCTTTTAAGCAACAACAATGATTTTGCTTTAAAATGTGGCAAATTCCTTGTTGGCTGCACTGTTTGTTACCTCTTTTATTCTTGTTTTTAATGCTAACTTTTTGCTGATTTCTTTAGTGGTCTCAAATGCTCCTTTTAGCGGATAATCAGCAGAACAATCTATTTGTGTTTGGATAGCAGCAAACCACAGTCCTGCCCAAGGATCATTCTTGATCTCCTTCTAAGCATCTTTGGAGAGGGGACAACACTGTATTGAGACTGTTTCCACATAGACTTCAATGGCGTAGGTGCTACTAAATTTTAATGTAGCAAGTCAGTTATAGAGATAGGCAGAAGGTCTACTGGCAGGATTCTGAGTGATTTGCAAGAGATTGACAATAGTTTTTGACCTTGGTTTATAACAATGGTAATTTTTCAAAAAAACCTGCCTGCATCCCAGGTTAGGTTGCTGAACAAGCATGCTTGGGAGAAAGCAAAAGGGGGTTGATGGACTTGTGAGTGGCTCCAGGTCATTGGACACAAAATCCTGGACTGAGCATGTACACAGGAGTACTGTGTCTCTTAATTCTTAGTGCATGCTCTCCTGTCTGACCCATTTGGCTACTGCAAACAATTATTCCATCTCTGGATCTTAATAAAATAAACAGACAGACAGACAGACAGATAGATCCATCTATCCATAAATAAATAATTGGATCCCATGAGCTTGAAGGTTCGTACAGACAGACAGACAGACAGATCCATCCATAAATAAATAAATAATTGATCCCATGAGCTTGAAGGTTCGCCATCCTTTTCCTCCACTTATACTTCGGTTATGAAGATATAGCTCACATCTTCAGGTGTAGGCATAAGCATTCGCCGTATATTCTTACCTTTTTCATTTGCTGTCTGAATGATGATTTGTTAAAATATAGATGACAGATATATATGATATGTTAGTCTTTTAAGTGTGGAAGGACACAATACTCTGCCATTACTTATTCATACAGTAGTAGCTTGGAATTTATAGATGCTTGAATAATTGCAACCATCAACTATGTAAGGCACATCAGACAGTGAAGTATTTTTCCCTTAGCTTTTGTCTCTGCTGTGTTGTGCAAATCTTCTCTAACAGAAGGCTATTATCTGTGGATCAACAGTTGACAAGAAACAGACTGCTTTTTCAGCTGGACATGTTCTTTCAGTCCTGCCTCTGTTTTATTAGGCATTTTTGTAATTATATATGTATCGAGATACAGTAGACAGAACCCAGCAAATTAATCAGTATTGTACTTGGCATGGCACTGTAGGCACAAGGAAATGTTTTTTTGTTGTAAACAAACAAGAAAGATGGGCATGTATCTAGTGTATATTTTCAGATATTAGAGAACATTCAGGGAGGACAGCATTTGTTCTGGATTCGTGGCACTGTGTATGGAGAGAGCCATGTCTCCTTTTTGCATGTTCTGTTTTGCTACTGCAGCTGCTGTTCAAAGTGCTAGATGCTGTATACTCAGAGTATGAAGAGTCTTCTTTTTCTCTAGTATCTGATCTGTTGCCAAAATAATTAGGCTACTGATTTAGTGGCATCTTCTGCTTTCATACCTGAAGTGGGCATAAAAAATGCAACCAGGATCCAACCTGGAGGCAGGGAAATAGTGTTCCTACAGTAAACTGGTGTGGAAAGCTCTGGATGTTGTGATATGGCAACAGCTCTTAGATAAGATGGCTTTACAAGGGTATTAGGTAAATTTATAGTGGTTGAATCTATTAAGGTCTGTTCCCCATGGATGCCAAACAGAACCTGCCATGTTCAAGGAGAATAGACAGTAAATAACAGCTAGCTGGGGGCAAATAATGGGAGGAGGCTGTTGCTTCTGGGCTTCCCAAGTATGTCTCTTGGCCACTCTGGAGAACAGAATGTTTGACTCTGTAGACTCTTGAATGAGAAAGACCATTAGTCTCAAAAGGAAATACCTTTTTTTGCTTCATGACCTTAGACCCAGTTAGCAGGATGCCCATGTGTGGATAAGGCTTAAAAAGAAGGACAAGACAGTGTCCTTGGGTCAGGCAGCCTAAGACTCCCAGCCTCAATCTCTAGCTGTGGGGGAGTACAACCAGAATCTGGGGGACTCTGGGAGCAGCTTAGCAGTTTGGGGCTGTCTTCCTGATGTTGTGGAGCACACACATACCAGACCTTCAAGAGCATATTTTTAGAGCTTAGAGCATTGATGTTGTTTCAACAAAAAGTAATTCATTTCAGTTAAACTAGTTGAATGTAAAAGAGGGGAAGTAACCAGATGTTCAGAATCAGATTACTAATGTGTAGCGTTTTTTATCAGTCAGAAATTTAAAAATGCCCCCAAATATCTCCAAAATAACATTTTAGAACAAGAAGTGTTAATGATTGTTGTAGGTTTCTCAGGCTGTTTGGCCGTGTTCTGGAGGTTTTTCTTCTTAATGTTTCACCAGTCTCTGTGGCCAGCATCTTCAGAAGACAGGAGTTAGAACTGGTTAGAACCTATAAGAGTCATCGGATCCCGGCCATGAAAGCCTTAGAGAACACAATAAGTGTTAATAATTGCTATGAGAATGTTACAATGTTAACAGAGTTGCCCTTATAAGGCTTAAACATAGCAACAGAAGCACCTATTGTTTGTCTTAAAATAAAAAGGGAAATGTGAGAAATAACATGGTTACTTCTAATGTATTACGACCAAACTCTATGGGTACCATGAAACAGAGATGTATAAATATTAAAACCCCTTATAATTCCTTTAATTCTGCACAAAGCTGCTGTTGCTGCTATTTTTTTAAAGCTTCTGGGTATGCATATGTATGTAGTTTCCCAGTGGTATTTTCAGTGACACCAGCTGATAACGATGCAAAGAATATCTCATGAGTATTTCTGCTTCTTCCGTAGTTGACTCCGGTGTGGAAACGTTGGCAGGGTTTATGGCAAGCAACAGCTCAACAGATATTGTCAATCGGAACAGTCCTGCTACTCCACCCAACACACTTCATCTGCGCTCGTCCCACAACGAGCTGCTGAATGCTGAAATCAGGCACACAGAGGTCAAGAACAGCACCCCTCCGAAGTGTCGGAAAAAATATGCACTGACAAACATTCAGACAGCAATGGGTCTTTCAGATCCTGCTGCACAACCTCTCTTGGGGAACAATTCCTCCAACATCAAGCTGGTAAAGAATGGAGAGAACCAGCTTAGGAAAGCAGCTGAGCAGGGGCACCAGGATCCTAATAAAAACCTGACTGCTCCTACCACTGCTTCAAGCATAAACATAACTTCTGAGAAGTTGGAGGGGAAAGAGCCAAACCAACAAGATTCCTCAGCCAGTGAAATCCTGCCCACTCAGCGCAGGAAAACCAAGAGCTTCCTAAATTATTATGCAGATCTGGAGACATCAGCAAGGGATGTTGATCAGAATTATGGGAACAGCCAAATGGCAGGGGAGGAGAAACTGTCCTCACAGCAATGCAACAGCCAGGCATCCATGGTGATTGTCAATGGGGATGCCCTGCAACCGAAGCAAAACAAGCCAACAACTCCGGAAGATTGTGAGGTAGCGACTATATCATCAAGCCCAGAAACAAAAAAGGATCATCCTAAAACTGGTGCAAAAACAGACTGTGCATTGCATAGGATTCAGAACTTGGCTCCAAGTGATGAAGACTCCAGTTGGACAACATTGTCACAGGAAAGTGCTTCCCCAAGTTCCCCAGATGAAACAGGTATGCATGTGTCATTTATGCATTTATTTAAGCCAAGAAATGTTACATGCTTGAGTAAAGCTTTCATTAATGTGAAGGTTAGATTGACATACCATTTGGCTTCAGATGTTCCAGCTGACATTGCAAAAGTTGAGCTTAACTTTTATAGTGGATGTCTGGGACTATAGTAAATAATCTCTGTCATTCTCCTAAAAGTTCACGATTGTTGTTCCTAGTCAGGAAGGAAGGGACATAGAAAACCAGGCTGAGGGGGAGGGAAACATCATAGAGCACAGCTGATTAGAGAAATGCATAAGAGTATGTCACACTGGAGCATTTTCAGGCAGGTCTTGTGTCTCTTTAATCACCATGTGAGCAGAATTCGACCACCATCAGGTTTAGAAAATACAACTTCACAGCCTTGGGCAGTAAAATTTGTATTGTGCAACACACTGTTCTAAGGCATATAGAAACCACCTAAATACTTTACTCTCGCTAATGTCTCTTCTTCCTCTCCTTACTGAATCACTGGCACATCTTTGAGTTTATTGATTATATGTCTATGCTTTACAGAAATACCACTTGTGTGTTCTTTTCATATGTGAAGTAAGTGTAATATTAACAATCACACTTGCAAACGGAATTCTGGAAAATGAATTGCTTTTTTTGTAGGTACTGTGTGAAGTTGAACTGTTTTGATGAGGTGTTTGATCTCCATATCTTTATTTTCTTCTAAGACTGTAGGTTCATTTTCATTGATTCAAGGCATTTGTCTCTGGGACTTTTGCACAGGTGGATATAATTGATTGATTTTTCCAGTCTATCTTGACTAAATATGGGATTTCAACTATTCAATATGTCTAATTCTGAAGGTTTTGTCTACAGTTCAGGATACTGCATGTGCTTGTGCATGCACATGTATGCAAGAAAAAAGGAGAGCAATTCTGTTTATATATTTTTTCCTCTTGATGGGAAGTCTGTGGTCACTTGGGGCTTCGTACAATCATAAGAATATTTGTGGAATTCAGGGAGCATATGCTTGACATTCTGCATGTTCACATTCAAAAAGATGCAGTCAAACTGCCCTCCTTTTGAAGCTTCCTCTGTTGAGTTGAACTTTTTGCCAACCTCATTATTATTCCAAGGCTAATAAGACTTTTTCCATAGAGGTGTAGAGTTACCACTGTGTCTCTATATAGAATTTTGACCAGTGGCAGTTTCCAGTTTAATAACCCAAATTCAGGCATACGTGTTTTTCTTCTAATTTTCTTACACACTGATCATATTTGCCACAAGAGTTATGCATACAGGGGCCCTTCACCCCCAGTGTTGGGTTGCAGATGTCTGGAAGCCCATCCCAGCATAAGCAGATTAGACTTCTGAGTGTTCACTTGTTAAGCTTTCTCTACTAACATTTTAATCTCACCTCTGGCTCACATTTATCTTTTCCCTTTGTTTATTCTAATCCCCTCCCACCACAGTTCCAGCAAATCATGCTTTCTGGTGATATTGGAATCACACTGCAAACTAGAATGGAAAGGCATTGATTAGACATAAGTTTTATATTCTAGGCTGGAGCCCAATTAATAGTAATAGCAGCGTACAAAAGAAAGGAATTGGAGTGCACAAGGAAAGGAAAGGCATGATCCAGATAACAAAACTGTGGCTTGGCTCTTATGTGAGAGGCAATCTGGAGGTCCTCGTTTGCCTTTTTCCTCTGCTTTGAAGATACGTATCTCTTTCAATGGTATGTGTAAAGATGATGGCCTTTTAGATGTATGGAATGGTGGGTAGAGTATAAAATCCATATTCAAGCCAAATGAATACAAGCTTCCTTTTCCTATAGGTTATAAAGGATGCTATAGCAATGTATGATTTAAAATTCAGGGGCCTTGAGAAGTCAAAAGTACAAGATAGACATCAAGGATGTAAAACTGGCCCTCAGGATCCTTTCTGAATTCTTAAACTAAATGGCTACTTTTTGCCTCCCTTGAACACCCCCTCTCCAAAAGAGAATGTTAATTTAATGTCTTCGATTTCAGAGTGGGTTTGGGGAAGCCATAGGTTAAATAAATGGTGAAACAAATGTAATGATTAGAATAAAGAATCTGTATTTCAGTCAACAGAACTGCATAACTGAGCAACATGGGGCCAATTTATACAGTTCTATGGCTTGGTTGCAGCATATGTTTCACACAGCAACTGGGGGGCATCTCTACATAGACAACAGAGAATCTTGTGACACTTAAAAGAGGGCAAGTTTCATTTGGCATAAATTTTCTAGTGTTTAAGGTTCCACAGGATTTTTTTTTCTGCTCTGCAACAAACTAACATAACCACCGCCTTGAGAATCTCTACATAGCAAATTGTTGGTGGGAAAGGCTTCTTTCTATATTGGTCAAAAACAGGACTCTCTGTATCATCAGGTAGAAGAAGGCTGCAGCTTAAGTGGACAGACACTGGAAGGGGGGGCAGCACTAGTGTGGTCCTCCCAACCATTCCCACAGATTCCCTGGCCATTCTTCTATAATGCAGGAAGTGTCTCTGGCACTTGCTGACCTGTCCAATTGAGAGAAAGGTCTGTGTGCCAGAGATGAAGTATTGCTTCTTTCTGTGGAATCTGGTGGGGGAGGGAACCATTTTGTCTTTAGCCTTAGGCAGTAAAATGTTTAGATATTATGTTGGCATCGTACCAGTTTCTGCAGCCCTGTAAAGACTCTTCTCGTGTAGCAACTTTGCCATGCACTGATACTCCCACATAGTTGTAAGCAGTATCTGATGGCTATCCTTGTTTTGTCTGGGTTTGATTTTGTAAGTGAAAAAGGCAGGATCAAAATATGGCTTAACCCTCTCTTCTGCTTCTCTGTTCTGCCTCCTCCCACCAACTCACTTTCTCAGTGCTAATGCTTGATTGATATTTCCATTATTTATCACCAGGATAGTCCATTTCTTGACTTCCAGATGTTGTTGGCCGCAGTTCCTATCACCCTCCACCACTGGCTAGGAGCTGCACTCCAGCTATAACCAAGAATTATCAACTATTCCCTAATCCCCCTCTTTTGCCATTCCAGCCCACCATCACTCTTTTCTTTATTTCTGTATCCACATTCCTCTCCACTTATTCTCCCATTCCTTCTTTTAACTATTTCACTCCTTCTCTAAGTCCCAGAGGTAGCAGGCAGGCCTTAGCTCAAGCCTCTGTTGCTAAGGCAAAAGAGAAGAGAGAGAATGCAATAATAATTCAGATCATGCTTTTTGAAACGTGTTCTTTAGGTTTCCCCAAAGCTATGAAACAAGACAATGAAATATGAGTCAATTTGGCCTGATAAATCTATGCTTCAGCATTTTTTTTTGAAATAGCATAGAATCGCTGCCAAAATTGTCTGCTTGATCTATGTTCCTAAGTGGATACTTAAATCTATAGAAAGAAGAAGAGCTGCTCTTCCTCCCGGTGGAATGGAATCCAGCAACAGTTAGATTACCTAGCAAGTTTAAAGCATTCAGTATGTTTTGAAGTTGTGACAGCGTTCATGTACAAGTTATCTAATTTTAACAGCTTTATACAGAAAGACATCAAAATATGCAATAAGTTCTTTGTCTCATTTTCTTTCCAAATGAATGGAAATGTTAGAAGAATTAAGAGGCTCCTTAAGAGGAGAGCTAAGGGGATATGTGAGGCCAACAGTGGCACACATGTAAGAGGAAACTGGAGGTGCAAGTGCCCCCGTACAGCAGAGTTGGGGAATCTCAGATCTCACAGATAGTCGTATCCCTTCTGCTTGTTTAATGGTTTCCCAATTTTTCTATGGGCGTATTCACACTCTGAAGAGTAAAATGCCTCCCTTAAGGCATGCCTCTTGGTTGTTGTTGTTATTCACACTCAAGTTAGTTCCAATTTAGAATGATCTTATAAATTAGTCACTTCCAAAAAGTCCTGTGCTCTTCCAGCCCCAAGGCTGTGGCTTCCTTTTATTGAGTTATTGCACCTCTTATTTAGGCCTTCTATTTTCCTGTTGCCATTGTCATTTAATAGCGTTACTCCCTTTCCCAGAGAGTCTTGTCATCTCATGATGTGCCAAAAAGATAGTAGTTTCAGTTTTGTCATTTTATTTTATTTTATTTTATTTTATTTTATTTTATTAAATAGAGTTCAGTCTTGATTTTATCTAGCACACACTTATTTGGTATGTAGACAGCTCTCCAGCACCACATATCAAATTAGTATTTTTTTCCCCTGACAGCTTTCTTCAGTGTCCAGCTTCCATATTTGTACTTACTAATTAGGAATACAGTGGTGCCTTGACTTACAAACTTAATTGGTTCAGGAAGATGGTCATAACTTGAAATGGTCATAAGTTGAAGCACCATTTCCCATTGGAATGCATTGAAATGCAATTAATCCATTCCGGCCGAAGAAAAAAATTACTGCAAGACCGGTCGGAAACATGATTAATCCCTTCCAGCCGAAGGGGGGGGGGTGTAAAAGAAAAGAAAAGCAATCAGCCCTGCAAGGCCCATTGCAAATGCAAACAAAACAAAGCAAAAAGCAATCAAGCGTGCAAGACCTAATGCAAATAAAACAAACCAAAAACCAATCAACCGTGCAAGACCCCTTGCAGATGCAAACAAGATAAAGCAAAAAGCAATCAAGCAGATTGTGCAAGATCAGAAATGGGGGGACCTAAAAAGCAAACTCCCCAAGACCCATCAGAAATGGGGGGGAATCCAAAAAGCAACCAACACCCCCCAAGACCCATCACAGCACAGAAACATAACCCCCACAGCTCAAAACCACGCTGCAAAAACACAGAAAACAGCACCTTCCCTTACAAGGCAGCCCAAAGCCTCCTGCAAACACACACACACATACGCAGAAGCAAAAGGCAGCCCCAAGCCTCCTCCGATGCACACTTTCTAACTGCTGGGGCAAAAGAGCTACAAAGAAGCAGCCTCGTCGCCACCTACACTTAGCAATTTGAATTTCCCGCCTTTTCCCCCTGTCTTTTTCTGTTCCTAAGTGG